CCTGATGCCAGAGCCCACTTCCCTCCTCCCGGGTGACGTTCGGATGGTTAGTGACAGCACGTTGGAGTCAGCACAGCTGGCGCCGTGTGCTCGCCCCAGGTCGGGCGCTCAGTGTCAGCCGCTGCCCCCAACTCTGGGCTTAGCCAGCACCCAGCACCCGGCCCACTGACCGGGAGGAGGCCTGGGTCCTGACTCCAGGGTCGGGGCTTTGCCTACAGACCCCGGAATGCTCTGGTCCCTGTGGCAGAGCGGGAGGCGGAGCCCAGACAGGGCGCGTGTCTGACCCGCAGTTCCACAGCCCGTCGAAGACGGCCCTCTTGGTGCAACCCCCAGGGCCAGAACAGCGGCACCTCCCGGGGCTGGGAGAGGCCAAGGCCATGCCCATTCACTGGGGCTGCTGGCACATTAATAAAAATAATACGGAAATGCCAAAGTGGGGTTAAGGGATTGCAGCATATTTTGAATTTTTCATTTAAATTGTAATACAACATAATTATGCTGGTTGCAAGATAATTACAGGTTTTATAAAAAATATTAATTCGTAGTGCACTGCAGGCAGTGAGGTTTGGGAACGGAATGCCAGTTTGAAGTCGCATGAGGAGAGCTGTTTGTCGCCCCGTTGGTGGCTTCCGTGTCATGTTTGGGAAGAGCCATGCGGCTCTCACCCTGAGGCCCTTCACAAACAGGAGTGTGTCCCCTTTCCTCCTCCCTGAGACACCCTTGTCCTCCTTGCTGCCCCACATCCTTGGTGGACAGCCTGGGCCAAGAGGAGTGGAGGACAAAGTGGGGTGCCCTCCTTGAGGCACCTGCGACGCCCTCTCAAAGCCGCGGCTGCCCTGGGTGACGTGAGTGGGTCTTCCCGAGACCCTCGTGGGGGGGCCCTGACCAGGCGGAGGCCCGCAGTTCTGTCTGAGGGAAATGGAGGAGAGGAGGGCTGGGAGAGTTCCCCACTTGCCCAGCCTGAGTCCCTTCCTTCCCATGAGAGAAGAAAGATCTGGGTCTGTGGCCTACAGCAGGGCCAGGCCCGTGGTGACAGCCACCCTCCCAGTCTCACTGGCTCCACCCTCAAAGCCTCTCTCAAAAGATGGCTGGGCAGCGCTAGACTGTCCAAGGGAAGATGAAGGAGTGCAGGAAAAGGGACCTGCGAGGTCGGGCTCCTGAGAGGCAGGGCTAAGATTGCATGCAGGCCTCAGCAGCCCCTGCAAGGTTACAGCTGGGCCAGGCCCGTGGTGACAGCCACCCTCCCAGTCTCACTGGCTCCACCCTCAAAGCCTCTCTCAAAAGATGGCTGGGCAGCGCTAGACTGTCCAAGGGAAGATGAAGGAGTGCAGGAAAAGGGACCTGCGAGGTCGGGCTCCTGAGAGGCAGGGCTAAGATTGCATGCAGGCCTCAGCAGCCCCTGCAAGGTCGGAGCCACCTGGAGCCAGTCCAGTTTGCCCGAGGGGAAAGGAGGCCTGAGCGGTGCAGCGACAGCCCCAGGGCACGTGGGAAGGCTGATGGACTCTCCCGCCTCCCACCTCCCCACCAGAGCGCTCCTGCACTGCGCAGCTCCTGACCCTGCTGCCTGCCCCCA